CCTACATTACAACACAACTTTAATATTGAGATATGATCTTTGATCAATAGAAGTTAAAAATGGGGCTACATATATTAAGTGAGATTTAGTCCATCGTGATGATTACCTGGTAAGGTGTTCAGTGCATAAAAGTGTTAAATATAATATTTTTATCTAAAATACTAGTGATTTTGCAAGCGTAAAATTATAACCAGAAGTCTCTGATGAGACTGTAGCTCCATTGGTTCATTTTTATCAAAGGTAGAGAAAAGTTCAAAAATCGATGCACTAAATTATATATCTTTATATAGTAGTCTACTTGACTATGTGCCTAGTTATATTAAAATCATTCCAAAATTTTGGAGGAGTAAAGTTTTGAAAATCTTTACAGACAGCTGGACAGCTAGACAAGACAAACAGACGGACGAACGATGGAAACCTTACATTCGCATAAACTGATCAGTAGAGCTAATAAAAACAATAAACTTACTTCACAATTAACAAGAACTAATATATACTATTTGTAACCAAAAAATGACAATTCAAACTAGCTCCTACATGCGACTAGTCTTTATACAAATTATAAAATATGTGAAAACCGATAATAAGTTTTCAATTGGTAAATGCTAAATGTTACTTGTATATAAAATTACATACATTTTAAATTAATTTTTGGTTTATTGTCATGCATTGATTTTTTTTAACACCAAAATAGGTAGTGAACTTGTAACACAATACGGCAGTGCAAAAGTACAACATCGTGTCTGAACAAAGTCACAAAAGTGGTCGACATATGTAACACTATACATACACTTATCCCTATTGATAATGATGGATGAATTTATTGAATTGGTTGACACTTTTCATTACATAATTTCATCTGATATAATTTTATCATCAATTGCAAGTTAACAATGATGCAACAATATCTTTGCTAGTTTATACATCCACCATTGATCAAAAGTTTCTTTAGTTTCTATCACATCTATATAGGAATGTCTCTAACTACTTAAAGACATTCAATTGTACAGCACCCCCTGGGACGGCCTGTTGGGACCCATTCATAAACCTGGTTTCTCTGCGACTTCTCATGAACCTGGAAATTAAGGAGGAGGGGGTTAGAGTTTGTAGCCTTGGGCCAGCTCCATTTGTTCATCTTGTCTGGCGTTTGTATGATCGGCCCGATTCATTGGCCGCGAGGTAGTCTGGCATCGAAATCTATAAAGCACAACCATGTAGTATTTATAATCTTAATTCCAAAATTTTCATCATATTTGAAGCTTCATTAGTTTTGAATAAACGGTAATGTTTAAAGGAAATGAAATTTTAAAATTAAAGTTTAAAATAAATATTATTTAGATTTTTATGTAGTTATGGAAAAGTTTATATTTAGAAGTTTTTCATTTAACAAAAAGTGTAGACTTAATACATTGCATCACTAGTATCACAAAAATCATCGTAATCAACATGTCCGTCTTTCTAGTTTTACTTTCCTGAAGATTTATAAAGATGACGCGTAACATGCAGTTCTCCTTTCAATCTCAATGAATTATGCTTTCAAAAACGTCTCAATTAATTATTAAGCAAGGTTAAATAATATGACGATCAGTATGACTACTTTTGAAGCATCCCAGCAAACCCAACTTACTTGTAGATGACAAAAACAGTAATCATTACAATGGCTGCGATTCCGACCCCAATCCCACAACCCACCAGGAATGTGAAAAAATCCCACCATCTCTCCTCTGTACAAAAAAGGTTTATGTTGATTTAATGAGAAAATTGAAAATATCGAGCTGTGTGAAAATAACCCAAACATATCACAATGCTAAGGTTAGAAAATGCAAGACCTATCACATGGCATGGTAAGTCAAATTCACAAGAAAGATACTTTAAACATACTTTAAAAGTTTAAAAACTAAATCTATCGAGTTACCTACAGTTTATAATTAACTATGTTAATCTACATTTCAAATCTCTAAATATTACTGATAAAGACTGTTTTTTTTTATCAGCAATAAAATGAACCCTGTCGCCATTTCAGCCTTTTGTGCTGATCAGACAAAGATAACTGCACGAGTATTGCTGCTACATATGTACCAAACGAGAAGAAAAATTACTTCAAAAATTCTGTTTATTGTGATGCAGAATTTTTCTTTTCATTTTTAAGGGAACCTACGTATGACAATGACATACAGTTACAAGTAATGTCCCGGGCGACTGGTTCCGCGAGATAATGAAAAATGAACTAAATGGTGGTTAGATTCATTAAATATTTTAACAAATCTTAGCTATAGTTTATGAGTGTAAATTGTATTTTATGAAGATAAAAAATGATTGGCAAAATGTACACTGTAAATCATAATTTATCTTGCAAAACCATTACTAAATCTGCAAAGTATTAACGATAGTTAACTACAGTTAATGACCTAAACCAAGATAAATGTACACGTATGATTTAAGCATGTCAAATCTGATAAATATAGTTTCACGTGAATAAAATATATGGAGGTACGAACAGGATTCAAAAGTCCATTAAACATTACAAAATAGGAACAGAGCAAACAAAGACCTCCAAAACATCAGAGGTGGGATCAGGTACCATGTAGGAATGAGCATCCCCTGCCAACTGGTCACACCCGCCGTATGCTCCTTGTCATGATCGGGAAATAAAGGGAAAAAAATCATTCACTGTTTAGATCAATATGAAAAAAATTAGTCATCATTTGAGTTAATGAAAAACTGTATTTGCCGACAAGGTCATTGTATCAACCAACTTATCAAATGATGACTTTAAACGAGACTGCATATATTCTTGCTTCCTCAACTTGAATTAATCATAAACTCCGCATGCAGGTGATGAAGGTATACTGCTGCAAAACTAAGGGTTGACGACTGAAAAATGAAAGTCATCACTTTTATCATAGAGTTTGGTTATTAGATTACCATCAACATTTTTCTTAAGTAAAATACCCAAATATGATGTGTTAGACTCTGTGGTATCTTTTATCTCAAGCTCACCGGGATACATCGTATCAACATAAGAATGGAAATAACTAACAAAACTTTTGTAAAGCAATAGGCCTATTAAAAAAATATTCTAATTTTTGTCTACTTGACTTAATCAAATCCTAGAAGAGCAGGAATATTTTATTTACTTACGCTTAAGATGCTACAGTGTATATGATGAAGAGGAATATGACCAAGGTGGAGGATTAGGTTCAGATATTCGATATTGCGGCCCTGTAAAGTTTTCTTGTAATTAAAAATTTTGGAAGCAAAAGCCGATATATATTTGTAGGTAATACTAGTACAAGGTGTAGTACTTATCTTGAAATATGGTGGAATACAAGACTACACCCTTTTGTGATTAAATATATTTTGGTGTCGAGGAATCAAAAATTGGATATACATGTATATGGGATTTCTAAACTTCATGAAAATCCTGACAAAGAGATATACAAGTACATCGCCGGTTGAGTAATTTAAGCGCTCTTCATATCCCCTATATTTATTACGTCTTACAAAAATACAATCAGCTGTACGAAAGAAAAATCATACGTACTGTGTTACAATATATTCTAAATGTGTAAATCAGAGGTGGATTCTCAAAGACTGAGAGAATTTTTAGAAAATTTGAAATCGTCAAAGTTAACAACATCTTATCTCATGAGAACTACTCGTATACATAATCATTCCTCACCATATGATAACCAGAAGTCTCTGATGAGACTGTAGCTCTACTGGTCTGTACGTATAACAAAGGAAAAGTAGCACTTGGATTTGAAACTTCGCAACAGACAGCAATAAATACAATTATGTATGTTAGTGTGGTCTACTTGTGTACCAAGTTATACTGAAATCAGAATAAAACTGTAGGAGGAGTAGCGTTTTGAAAAATTGTTTACATGCAGACAGACGGACAGCTACACAGACGGATGGACGACGGACACCTTACTATCGCATAAGCTCTTCTGTTCTCTGACCAGTAGAGCTAAAAACTGGAGTGTTTTTTTTATATCATACAGAATTGCTTTTTCAATAAAAATGGAAGTCAGAAATCTAAAATCTTTTGATAAGTCATCAACTTTATTAAAAGTCACTCTGATTCCAGACACAAGTATTCTTAAGTTGATATTACAGGAATGCTAGAGCTCCTCATTGGAAAATTTCTGTTGTCTTTGGAGACCATGTGTTCCAACATACTGTTTGAATTCTGATGGGCACTCATTTTACTTTTTTTACTGACCTTTTGATTTTATTTTCCTATTGAGGGGAATAAAAAAAAAATATCTACATGACAAGAAATTACAATTTAATTGCTGTTGCCTTGCTCACGAGTTTTTTTTTGTTATTTGGATAAAGAAATGTTTTATCAATTAACAATAAATACGTCCATTCATATTCATATAACAATTCGAACTTAAATTAATGAAGAGACGGCAAATAGTCTGCAAAATCTTCTAATCTTGGGATGTTTCACAGACTATAGACAATAAAGCCAACGAACAACTGAATTGTGTGATAAGCGAGATGGCTTCCGCCTTTCCACCATCAACATTCTTTTTTATCTCATCACTAGTTATATCCAGCTTGTACCTGCATACGGTGTTTACATCTCCTCATTTGGTACTCAAGAGCATGCTTCAAGAACGATCATAACTTGAGCAGGCGACTGGTAAATGATGTTCCAGGGATTTGACAACCTTGTTTGAAGTCAGCATTTCGTAAATTCCATGACCTTGTTGGCAAAAACATTGTATAACTTATCATTGGATCGTATTTTGGCGATTTGTTTCACACCAATTGTTAGGCCTTTGTTTTTATATCGAATTTGACAATGTAACTTGATAAATAGGTGGATCTCACAGCGGATGTGACCGGTCAATAGGGGATGCTTAATCCTCCTAGGCACCTGACCTCTGGATATTTCAGGCTACTGTGTTTTATGCCATCTTCATAGAGTTGTATTTTTATTGACTTTTTAAATGATCAATCTCTGTTTTTTATCTTAACCTTTTTCATAAATACTGCGCAATATTACCCCCCCCCCCCCATATTTGATTATACTTACCATACGTATACAAACAGGTATCTGAAACATTAGAAAATAATAGAAATGCAAATACATTAATTTTTGTGACATGTATTATTTCGCATTTACAAATAAAAATTTGCTTACCGCTGTATTGAAACACAAACCTGATCCGTAGTTTAAAAGTAAATTTCTGTTACGAATGTAATAAAGTAATCCTCTTACCCACATCACACTTGGGACCACTCCACCCTCTAGCACACTGTCCCTGTGGACAAGTTCCGGTTACTAAGTCACACGTCCCGTTCCCACAGAATTCTCCACAGTTAAATGCACAGTTCTTCCCGTATGTTCCTTTGGGGCACTCTGCATTGTACATTTTTTGAGTGAATTTTTATTACCTGTATAAACTAAACACTCGATCACCAAAGAAAATGATAAGCACATTAAACATTTGGAAGGCGTCCTTGTTTGGAAAGTTCAAAAATTTAATAAAACTAAGAATTTATCTTTCAGTCTGTCCTACTGAATCTTAAAACCTCAACATTTATTCCAGTAAAGACAGAATGGACAAAGACCCAATAAAATGTTGGAAATTTTATTTTGAGATACTAGTACATGTATATCATACTTGAACATTTGGGTCCCCTAGATCCTTCTCGACATCCCTTCAAACACGTTCCATTTCTTCTATCACATTCGCCGTCGACACATCCTGTACTGCAGGTTTGGGAGCAGCCGACACCATACGTGTTGTTTGTACAAGCTGCCCGCCAAAATAAGTTGCATTTAAATGACGTCTTAGAAATCAAAAGAACTAAACAAGCGAGTCCATGTACTGTTTTCTTTGTTAAAAAAGATATCTGTCAAAGAATTTATACATGAATGAAGCCTTTGATCTAAACGCAAAGTACATGTTAGACTTCTATCAAATTATACCGATATGTACATATTCTAACTTCTTTGCTAGAAGTTTGTTCTTTCTTCAAAATATCAAAAAAATGTTATTTTGGATGAATTTTTCATTGAAATTAGTAATCACAATATTCATGTTTAGCCAACTGTAATCAGTCACCACAAATTTTAACTCATGACACTCTCCAGTAACACAAAATTGCAGATTTAAATTACTGTCAAAGAACACACTAATTTTTTTTTTACTTACATGTAGTACAGTAACATTATTACATTAAACATTCCCTTCTATGCACGGTGTATGTAGCTACAGAGATTATTATACACTAACACTACTTACACTTATCACAAGGATGGAAATTTTCCCACCCTTTATCACAACCCCGGGGACAGGTCCCATTGATGTGAGAACAAGTGTCTCCTTCAAGGCAGTTCCCAACACATGTACTTTTACATCCATCTCCGAATGTACCGGGTGAACAAACTACAGAATAAACAAGATGTGTTTGTGAAACACTATGCGCCCGGCGGCAACACAGTTCGAAAAAGCTATTTTTAGCACATTTTTAGGTCACAGTCAAGGTCAAAGGTCATTGACCTTGGTGTCATTTGAAAGAAATTTAGTGAAGTAGGCATACCAAATATAAAGTCTCTATCTCTTATGGTTCAAAAGTTATGGCGAAAGTTCGAAAAAGCTATTTTTAGCATATAGGTCACAGTTATGGTCAAAGGTCATTGACCTTGGTGTCATTTTAAAGAACTTAATTAGTGAAGTATGCATACGAAGTATGAAGTCTCTACCTCCTATGGTTCAAAAGTTATATCGAAGGTTAAAGTTGACAACAGATAGACAAACAGATAAACAGACAGACAAGCAGAGAGACAGGATAAAAACAATATATGCCCCGATCTATCGATTCAGGCGCATAAAACAGATGTCCATCTACTTATCAAGTTGAAATATATTAGAATTCAATACATTATCAAAGGACACATACTTTCTCTAATCTTTTATTTTTCATGTGAATAAACTTTGAATGTTTATTTTTTTAATTACTTTTGTCGCATTTGTTCCCCTGCCAGCCTGTTAAACAGCCCAATAGACAGGTTCCGTCTGACTGTGAACAGTTCCGGTCCCCAGACCGAGGCTGAGTGAGACAATTCGGGCTACATGTCTCACCACAGGAGGGTCCGTATCTATCGCCTTCACAAGCTGAATGGAAAAAAATTAAGTTACAAATATTTTTAAAAGCTATAAGATTGTACCCCCAGAAACCATTCAAATGAGCTTACAGGAAACCCAAACCCTGTTTATTTTGTCTGCAGTGAGTCTTGCTGACATGACCAAATCTTTGCTAAAACCATGCTGAAATGAGTGAGAACATGCTTACTTGTGTTACAGAACAGATCTGTATAGGGCTCCTCACACACGTACTCCCCTTTACAAGTCCCACTCACCACGTAACAGTCCTCTGTACAGCCACTGCCACAGGGCACACAGTGAGCATCATACACAGTCTCGTTACACTCACCTGTAAACAAGAGAGGCATTAAGATATTTAATGTCTGCAACATTATAACACTTTCCCTCAGCATTTCCAGCCAAACAGAAAAACAGTAGAGGAACTATGAGCTCTTATTTCAAATTAAGATACCTCTTACTTGTGGGTATAGTGGCAAAAAAAGATCTTTGCAAGAGGAATCTCCAGATATTTTTCCTTCCCAAACATAAAATGGCGATAAAACCTGCAAAGCACTATGACGTAATTCTTTAACTAAATACCGGTAGTTAAATTGTTCTTACGTGAGATTTTCAGTCGACATGATTCTTTAAACGTCTTCTTCACCAAAATGGTCTCGGTGTTAATGTTATCGGTATGTTTCAGTCCTTTACAGTAGCCATGGACTTTCGATGAAGGAATGACATCTTCTGGACTGGCCTGATCCTGGTAACAGGGCCCTCCGCCAGGGGGCACCAAAACACTCCGTATCGGAGATTTCGTTGTTACTGAAAAAGTACAGGAATACCGCAGTATGCAAAATAAATATCAGCCAGTAACACTAATTCAATATAAAACTTATATGTAGGTAAAATTCGGATCGAAGGATGAATTTGTAAGTTCCGTTTGGATTTTTTTACTGTTTATACACCTCATCGAACTGAGTATAGAAAATAAAAAACTCACTGTTGATAAACTGCACGCTAATGTAATCAATGTCCAGAGGAATCAAATCAATCTTGTCCTGTAAGTACTGCGTCAATGAAATCTGCCAGGTGCTGTCAGGACATGAAGTTGTGGGTCCTTGTCTCCCTCCTGTCAGAGATTTCACCACCGTGAACCGAATCTTATAAGGCATAAATTCTCCTAACGATAACCCCACTACTCCACACACTGAAAAAATGCAACCTGATTTTTTTTAAAAAGTAACACAGGTATTAACTATTTATTAAATACTAAAAAAATTCGAAGATTCTAATGGGAAAAAATGTATGAACCAAAATTATGATTAAAATCCCCGCCTCTAAATCCATTCCTTTAATGTGAAAGTGCAAAGACCCCTTTGTAGTAATCATTTTGTTGAGCTTAGATATTCCTTGAAGAAAAATCTACAGCACCAGAGTCGGACAGATCAAGGATTCACTGAGAGTTGATAAGTGGAAGTAAATGCACTCGTAGTTGTGAGATTTAAAAAATTAAGTTGGGAATGAAGGAACACATGGGGAAAATGTGTTGTGCACCCAGTGAAATAAAAACCCACAGGTCACGTCAATGAGGCGGAGAAGGAAACATGCTGGCTCTGGATTCTACCTACAATGCCTACCGATTTTATGTGCAAATCGACAATAAGGCCAGCCCCCCCCCCCCCCCCCCCCCCCCAAAAAAAAAAAAAAGAAAAGAAAAGAATTAGCAACATCAGAAGAGCAGCAAACATTGGATACCTGGGTGAAGGGGCAAAGCATAAAGGATTGATTGATTGTATGTTGTTTACGTCCTACCTAGGGTTTTAATATCTCATCCGAAGGTCCCGCAACTTTCACTTCAATTGCCAAGCACATGGTGATGATCGCACAGTTGCTACCCACTTTTAATCGACTTAGGTCAGTCTCGACCGAAATTCGAACTCACGACCTCCCGATCCCGGAGCCAGCACTCTGCAGACTAAACTACCGTGTACAGTCAAACCAAAAAGGAAAAACTTAATGAATTAATGACCAGTGAGTAGCATTAAGAAATAGTCTGATGAGGTCATTTTGACACGTCAAATGTTTCCCATGAGCTGTATGGACAAACCTCGTAGATGCTGTTCTCTATGAATTCTCTACGCACTATTTGCAGGAGGAATAGCAAAGAATTTTGATGGCTGTATGAAAGATTTGACATAGAGGATAGAAGTCAGTACCTACCATAATAGGAAATAGTATATAAGGTATAGCTCACCGTCACATATAAACCCACTTATGAATTATGTGTTACTTATCACATGTATCTGAATATATTAAATTTTCCTCTATCTCCTATGGTTCAAAAGTTATGGCGAAAATTCGAAAAAGTTATTTATATGCACCCAGATAGATAGATGGGGGCGTATATTGTTTTTGGCCAGTCTGTCTGTCTGTTTGTCCGTCTGTCTCTTGTCAACTTTAACTTTCGCCATAACTTTTGAACCATAGGAGATAGAGACTTCATATTTAGTATGCATACTCCACTAATTAAGATCTTTCAAATGACACCATGGTCAATGACCTTGTGACCTTGACTGTGACCTATATGCTAAAAATAGCTTTTTCGAACTTTGTTGCCGCCGGGCGCGTAGTGTTTCACAAACACATCTTGTTAGCATATGTCACATTCAAGGTCACAAGGTCACTGACCTTGGTGTCATTTGAAAGAGCTTAACTAGTGGAGTATGAATACCAAATATGAAAGCAATATGAGCTGCATTTTTGAGAATTTTATTTTGCTGGTAAAATATGTTATTATGATTAATCTGTATGTTATCTAATTCATTATGATCAATAAAACCTACATAAAGTTTAAAAATGTGACAGCAGAAATATTTCTGTTTAACTGAATATACAGTATTATATAAGAAATCATTATTGTACAGGACGACAATAATTCAATTTTGCTTCAATCAAAGCGTATAAAAAGTTCTTTCATAGCAAATATGAACAATAGAAGTTAATAAATTTTCTATTTTTCTGTCAATGAAATAGCTAATTACAAATTTGCAACATTTTTTTCCGAGGTCAAACATGCAGCTCATATTGCTTGAAGTTCTTTATCTCTCACGGTTAAAAAGTTATGGCGAGGGTTAAAGTTGACAACAGACATACAGAGAGACAAACAGACAGACAAACAAACAGACAGGATAAAAACAATATGCGCCCCGAATTATCGATCCCCGAATTATCGATCGGGGCGCATAAAAGAGAAAGACGTTGATCTAGAATTTCTTTTCCAAAGAAGGGGGGGGGGTCTTTCTAGCCCCTCCAAAATAATCCAAACTAGAAATTTGTAGCCAATCATTAAAAAGGGTGGTCCTTCACATTTTAAGCTTCATATGCATGACTTATGACTGTTTCTTCAGCATTCTTTAAGGGGGACAAAGATCAATTCTAGTAACTTTCCTATGTACATCCCTCACTTGAGCCATACATGGAGGAGTTTAAATTTTTTTTATTTATGCATGGTAGTTTTAAATACGATGAAAGCAAACAACAGGCATATTTATAATATAGTGTCATATTGCAACAATATTGGAAAATTTCACCACTTTCCAATCACCAATAAGATCACACGAGCTTTCTGAAAATGGATTGAAACCCGGGGGAGACTTCGACGTTACATGTACGTCAAGTTTTATATGTCACGTCACGTTATAGAAGCATCTCACCCAATGTCTAATTCGAATACGTAATTCTACAAAATGCTGCTCTTTTCTCCTCTTTTTCTTAAGAAAAGCCTGGGTATCCTCTCGCACCAACCTTTCTTAATTTTTCACTCATATTTCAAAATACTCCCATCTTTCCATCTTTTGACGTTCCAATTTCAGTAGCAAGGTTATGAACAGTACGTCAGGCAAAAATGTCCATTAACGCTTTTAATTTGCATAGGGGGATAAACACTTAAAACAGAGCCTCCAAAAGGCGGACACACCCATAATCAACGTCCATGGAAGTTCTATTTTTCTTAAATATTTCTTATGCCACTGGAAAACCAGTAACTTAATGATTTTCCCCTAGCCTATGACAATAATATACGCGTTTAAGATAGAGAGATCCCGGGATTTTCACAAAACGTATGACTTGACCGAAATTTGACGTTGTCTAACAACTTAGAGATGAACAATAAATAATCAACTAATTAAGGGGGCCGACTATAGTTTCCATTGCGCAATATTTCGCGCATCATAGTAAAATGAAGCGTATTTACTGTTTTAATGCAACCTTTTTCGCTTAATTATTAAAATTAAACAAAATTAAGAAATTATAGGTATAAAAATGTAAAGACAATTTGATATAACTGATTTTTAACCGATTTTACAATTGATAGGTAGGTTGACGTCGTTGGAGTGTGTTTTTGACGTTATGATAATCTGTAGCTCTTAAAGAAAGGGGTAATAAAAATATAATTAAAGAAAAAGTAAAAAACAAACGCTCTTGAAATTTAAAACATAGAAATTTGAGAATATCTACAATATTTTTATTATGTTTTCATTTGAATCCATTATGTACGTCATATTTTGTAATACTCTATAAAAATAGTAAAATTCGCTAATTTTTTGCATTTTGAGATGCCCCCTCTAGTAACAAGACGGTAGAATTTTGTGTTTCTTACATATATTGTATAGTATAGTATTACTCATCATATATTTTAGTTTGAACAAAATGTCTATTGTAGTATTTGTATAATTTGCTTTAAAGTGCTAAAAATTGGCATTTTCCTATAGTAAATGTACCTGTATTTTGAGACGGTCCCTCAAAAATACCTGGACGGTAGATTCCTCCCGAACTTTGCATGTACACTGAAGTCAATGTAAGTTATATATGGTATAAATATGAATAGTTTCGCTATTGTAGTTTTCACACAATAAAACTATAGTCGGCCCCCTTAACTAGATATCCAGTAAAAATCAGTAAAACTATCACACAAAGATTTATAAAAGATCAAGCAATCGTAATAATGACATGATTTTCGTTTTTATACCTTATATGGCGGTTTCATTCTTATATCACGTCTTAAGAATTAAAATGATAATAAACGCGTCAATGTCTCCCCCGCACTTCCAAACAACCATTTCTATGGCAACTGCTACTATCATAAATATTCAAAATGTTTTTTATTTAAAATATTCAACACGTATCTATATTCTCATTTGTAATTTTCAACCAATTTCACTTAAAAATAAATAAAATATAAAGAAATTCCACGAACTTTTGAATCAACCCTCGTAAGATATTTTGTATCATTCTTCACATTTCTTTATCATCATGCATGTGTCTAAAATATTGGATGTGTATCCTTTCACTTTGGGGGAAAATATATTGCGACTGTGCACACGTCATGTTCAACTGGAAATTATAGTTTTATTACACGACCTAGCTGCTGTACTAGCCAAGGTAGCCACAAGTTAATTCGGTCAGAAAGGTGAACGAAGGGTCACATAAGACTAAAGTGCAGATGTACCGGTGGCAATATTCCAGATGCAGCTTTTACTGTAATTAAAACTTACGTCAACAAAATAATTAACAAATCCTACAGCTTACAGCTCCATATGTTGTCCTTCCGCTCCGGAGAATAAATAGCATCATAATTTAAGCACAACTTACCTAATAACAAGAAGGGGTGTATAGATCTCGGTGTTCTCATTCTTTCACGGTTTTTATTAGGGGTTAGAACTCCCACTATGAATGCCAAGTTCCTCTAACTAGACATCAAACTAATCTTTGCATGATTCTTGTCCTCTCAGTCTAAGAGCCTAAGTATGGCGTGCCGGTAAGGTCACAATCATTGAGTGAAAAAACAAATCAACATTAGGCCAAATAACTGAAAAAAAAAACAACTCATCTTTATCAAGGTCAAAACCTAGTAAATGAGTTTAGATTGTCTTTTGTTAATAGATCCACTATGACTTTATTCAAATTTACTTTTCCCTTTATACTTCAAAACTATACCCGGTTATTTATTAATTATGTAGGAAATGATTTTTTGTAAAAATCAAAGCAAGGAGATTGCTACAAATATCGATTAAGAAGATGTGGGTAAGCGAAGTTTCAACATCAACTCGTGTCGAGCACATGGCGAAGAAACAGTTGCTACCTATGTTTTATCGACTTAGGTCAATCTGGCCAAGATTCGAACTCACAACATTCCGAACACGGATCGAGCACAATACCGAATGAGCTCCGTGATGTTGCAACAGAAATTTTGTGCCCATGTACCTTTTGTGAATGCGTTGTGGAAACGCACTTTGAAAAAAAAATTTCAAAGTGTTTTGTAACAATGTGACGGTGTTCATGTGTCGAGGTGATAAGAGGGATTGCAATCTAATTAAAATCCGATTCTTTGATCCGCTCAGATAGATCGCTACATAAGGATCTGAAGAAACCCCATTCAGGGTCATCTCCTGGTGACCTTTCTAATAAAAATATTCATTAAAATTTTGACCAGTCGAGAAATCATATTTAAATGACGTTCAAAAATGAATGTCGAAATGAAAGATGTTATCGTTTCGTGCCAAACAAAGAGCTCAAAACCAAGACAAAAGCAAGTACTTTTTTAATTTCTCTACAGAAAAGACTGTAGTCGTTCTCTTGGCAGGATATGGAAACTAGCTCAAGATTTTACGTTCGTGTGCCAATGGGGCTTTTACTTCTGTAACTGAATTCCGAGATACTTCTTAATTCTTTGAAGTGAACGTTTGATTGGATAACTGAGAGGTCATCAGGAGATGACCCTGAATGGGTTATCTTGATCCTTGTGTAGCGATCTATGTGAGCGGATTAAAGGATCTGATTTTAATCAGATTGAGAGGGATCGAAGAAGAGAAAACATTTGTCCTTAAGTATTTTTTTTTATTTTTCAGCTACATGATATCCTTAACATTATACTTGGAGTCCATTTTTTCTATAGTGGCCCAATTTTTTTTTTGAAAATATGTGAAGAGGAATTTTGAATTTATAAAAAAAACCAAAGGGGGGCATAATTTTTTTCAAAAATGGCGCGATCGTATTTGAAACAGACCTTGACTTGATAAATCTGTATCAATAGTAAATTTCATATCAATATGTGCAACCTCTGCAAAGAAAATGAACGGAAACTGTAAATAATTGGAATTTTTCTAATTCCAAGGGGCATAACTCTGTCAAAAATGGCGCAATCATACCCAAAACAGAACTTGACCTGTAGACATTCATCCGATATATCTGTATACTAAATTTCATATCATATGTTGAACGGTTGTAAAAAAAAGAACGGAAACTATAAGTGGACCGACCATGACGGGAGCAAAGCAATATGCCTTCCCTTCTTCGTTGGAATTTAAAAAAAAAACCAATGGGAGTCTGCCATTGAATAAAAAAAAATATGATTTTATGCAATCATACAATAATAAACAATCATAGAGCATGTATTCGCATTAATTAACACTTTAAAGAATTATTCAGTTTTCTTTAACAGTATACAGTGTAGATATTCATCTGGTGAACCATAAATTTTTATTGGGAAAAATATTATAAAACATAAAAATATACAAATGACTAGCATTTTTATAATTTTAAAAAACTTTGTAACACTCAATATATAAACAATATAAAATATTTTCATGTATGCTAAACAGATTCTTGGATGCTTTGGATCCAAGCAATCACATTAATGTAGCAATGAAATTCAATTGCATCCAAAAATCATTCAAATTTTCCATCCGATTCTTATACGCAAAATGATTTTATCCTTAAACAAAAGGATACATTTTACCACTATTTTAAAATAATTTTAAACATTGAAAAAAAGGAACTTTGCGATATAATTTTTCTATCACAAAATGTCCTTTAGATTGTCACGAATATGTAGCAGAAACAGGGAAAATACTGTAACATTAAACACAATAAAGCAGCACGTAAAATCAAAGTTATGCAGAAACTGTTATGCAAACATGATCAAAAAGTTATTACATGTATATACTTATTTCAAGGAAACCTTGAAATATAAATTCCTAACATAAAATAAATTTTCGACATGTTTGTAAAATTTACTTTATAGAGCGAGAAAAAGAACATTCCTGAAGCTCTGGTGCATCTAGTATGGAAGCAAGGTATCGATAAGTCAGAATGAACTCATGGATATACTTTTATCCTAAACCTGCCTTTAAAAAGAAATATTAACTTTGAAAAACTAAAGGATCTCTTATAAAAACGAAAAAAATATTTTGATTTAATATCACTTAGATAAACTGTAACGCATGTAACCACATCCCGTTACGAAAAGAGTGGCGCCAAATCCCAAAGCAATCCCATCCAAGGCTTTTTGGTTCCCAAGTGACTGAACCTTCTTTTTCTTCATCATCTGAAAACAAACAAACATACACACATTAAATATAAACAGTGTGTTGTATTTTAAATATAACATCTGATAAAATCTTAACAGGAATACAACAAACCCTTCCTCTTGCAATATTGGACGGTGGACATTTTAACTGTACTGTCCAGGCACCTGACGTTACTTATTTTTTTTTTAATAAAAAAAAATATACACATCCCAATAATAACGTTTATTATTGGTATGTGTATTTTTTTTAAAAGAAAAAAAACGTAGGTGTGTGTACTGATGTATTCCTTTTTTTCCTCATCTTGATATGAATGTTAAAATTTATAACTTACATTCTGGATATAAGCAGACATCTGAAAAAAAAAATCCAATTTTATGGAATGTCACCCTTCGGAAAAACAATTCATTTTTAATATGCATCTTTCCAATTAAGACTTATTAACAGTACTAACCTCTATAGTTACACTGCGACCAACGCCACCCTTTTTTGACATGCGCCTGGGCTTTTCCGGTTCCCAGTCACAAGGTTCTTTTCTTTGCAGAAACACCATTATCACAATCCCATCCATATAATCCGGGTTCACAGACTAATAAAAATATATTATGTCACATAATTATAACGTAATATTTAAAAGCATACTAATACTTACTCCAAAACTGTAAATAAAACAAAATAAAAACATGTAGCTTGACCAGAATAGGAGTAATAGGAACCTTGAATCAGAACCATGTTGGCCCACTGATTCATGAAAAAAAGCTTTGCCGTTGTATGTCGGTGTGTTACTACATGTTTTTATAAAAAAATAAAATATCACCCTTATTTAACAGTCACTATTATATATATTATACCCACATTTATTAAACTTTATTTGATAGTTTGTTGCTATTTACATGAGTATCTACATTTATTTACGATATTTTATATTTATATTACTTTCATGTAACGGTATGTTATTATTTATATGAATATCTCACATTTATGTAATGGTATAATACGAGGGCTGTTAATAAATAACGTCCTCGGTATCGGAAAAAAGCAAACGACGCTTTTCAATGATTTAGTCTTCATGATTTTACTTATTAATCTCTTTCAGATGCCTCAAACACATGTCCGTAACATTTTTTATCCAGTTTCTGATTGTTTTTAGAACTTATTTTTGGGTATGACCCTTAGTATACTGGAAAATGGCATATCCAAAACTTTCCTTGACTTGTTTCTTCCCTCTGATAGGTGTTTTTTTCAAGTTTGGAAATAGAAACAAGTCAAAAGGTCAAAGATCTGGCGAATATTGTTAATGGGAAAAACATCACTTTCTGTTTATCCCGAAAACCCTTTACTCTTCAGGGCATGCGGGTTTGGACGCTGTCGTGAAGAAATTCAGTCTAGTGGATTCCTGATTCTGGGTCCTTCCTCTAATAAACCTATTTTTTGGCAAAAAAATGCCTTCTAGACTCCTCCAGAAATTAAACTGTCTTCCCGAATACGAATTTGAACAACAATACCACTTATATTTAAGAAAATTGCAAATAAATCTTTGTGCTCTTGCATACCTTTGCTCTTGTCAGACCTACGCCGTATTTATCGAGTACATCTTATGGTAAATTTTGTTTTGAGGGTTTTAAGCAATAGATTCATGTTCCAATATCTGTTTGAATATAAAACAAACGTGGATAACTACAATTACTGATATTTTAAAATAATTCTTAAGATTTTCGTACACGCTGTCGTTTTCACTCATGTTTCAAAATATTGGATGACCTTTAGGTACCAAGCTTTTTTAACGTCAAACATTTCTTAAAAAACAGCGTAAACTACTCCCGATATGATGTCTATCAAATTTGCTATGTGTCTTAAAGTCAGTCATACATCATCAAATATTATTTTTTGAAATTTGGCGAACAGTACATAAGTTGTTATAATTTTTGTTGGCAAGGACGGTACCCATTTTTGATGCCCATTATATGATTTTTTTTATCATTGAAATCCACCTGCTCATTTGTCTATAAAACAGGCATTGGTTGCTGTAAATGTAACATATTTCAGTGAATATTTCTTTTGGATTTTGAACAAGTTGTACAGCAGCTTTAATGAAGCTTTAATTTTCATTCTAGTTTACCGATTCTTCACAATAGCCCTTGTTTCCCAGCTTCTCATAATGAAACTATGTGATGAAAAGTGGTCACATAAACTGTTATAAATTCATTAAAGATTAAATAATGAGAGGAAGTCAAGCTTTTTGTCATATGATATCTGTATTGTATGTCATCGAGCTAATGACATTACTTATCGAACATCCCTCGTATATAACGAAGATTGATATCGTCCACGAACTTGAAGATATATTTATTATAAATAAGTAAGGGAAGATTACGATTGAAAAGTTAGTCATCACGTTTATCATAAAATTTGGTAATTAGGTTAGCATTAACGTCT